TAGTAGTAGTAGTAGTAGTAGTAGTAGTAGTAGTAGTAGTAGTAGTAATAGTAGTGTAGCACTACTACAGTACTGCAAATAAACAGTGTCCTCCAACATGACAGTAATAATAATAATAATAATGAAGTGGTGGCGTCTCGCGTCGTCGGGTGGTGCGATTGTCGTTTACCCACCGCCGCACCGACGCCGCCCGTGATTCGTGTACAACTATAACATCGGTCACCGTTCTCTGGTTCACTGTTCACCGCAGCGCGCACGCACAACATATTTGATACGTCGGTGATGTCTACTTCACAGTAGTGGTTACTCGTAATAACCGTAACTGTAATATCGTGTTGACTATTGTTGTTGTTTACATGGTGAAACGTTGATGTTCGAGTGCATGATTTCTCGTCAACGTGCACGTATCGGTGGACTTTTATCGTTTAGTTAGTTTTAATTTTTTCCCCTCCCCTGAATCTTCTACCGTCCGCTATCACAAGTAAAAAAACGGTTTCTTCACTGCACCCTTTGTTTGCGCCCGTTCAAAACACGCTCAATCCGATCCGCTGTCGCATCCAACAAACGGTACACGTAATTTTTCAGTCTACACATTCCACGTCGATAATATGTCCAAACCTCCGTGTGCGGTATTTTTGTTGGCCATCGGGTCGATGTGCTTATTGGCCGCCGCCGCCAACGGCGTAGACTCCGGAAACAGTGGTCATCATTCATTGGAACTGGACGAGAACAACTGGACAAACGTGCTGACCGATGAATGGATGGTGTTGTTGTGAGTATTTCGTCACACGTTGGCAATGTAGTTTTCATTTTTTAGAAATAGTTGTCTTTAGTGTCCGTGCCGGTGATGAATATCCAAATGGTGGAAGGAGCGCCATGCTTACTTTTTGCTAAATTTTCACGGTCATAAATTTTTCACAGGGGCGAGTGTGAATGTGTGTGGGTGAAAAATAATTATTCCCAAAACGTGTTGTGCAGAAACTTGATGTAGGCGACGCGCTACGTCGTAACGACAATGTGGACATTATTTATACTGTAACAAGTGGTTGAGATGGTAAAGCTTGTAACCATATGATTTTATCCGTTTGTCTTTGAATTCCTCGCAACACTATCTAATTATATGAACCCTAGTTTAGACTTTTATAAACCTAATTATTTCTGGACAAATTTTGCTTAACAGTTTTTATTTTTTAACTAACGAATACTTAATTATTTAGTATGATGAACTAGTAAGTATAGGTATATTTTTGACAATGAGATTTTACACATTTTTTAACTCTCATAATCATAAACTTATTAATCACAAATAATATCAATAAAGTAAAGACTTAAATGCATTTGTATAATATGTTTTTTATTGATTATATTACATGTTAAAGAAGCATACAGTTTTATTATTTTATTTAATATTAACCTACATATTTTTAAATATATAGTATAGGTAGATATATTTTAATAAATACCATGGGTTTTGTACCAATCAGAGTTAAAAATACTTAAATAATAACAAAATTATAATATTAAAAATAAATATGTTTTTTTGCAGAATTATCTAATTTCTTGTGAACGAAACAAAAAGTGATTTTAATTTTTTATTTAATTATTTAATTTGAAAGATTTATAATTTAATTTTAGTTTATTCAATAAGTAGTATTCTACATTATAACGTATGAAAGTCTTTGTTTTAGGTATATACAAATATTATAGATTCTGATTTGTATTGTATAGTTACTACAAAGTTTTTATTACTCAGAATATATTACAACTTGCATTTAACCCCTATAATGTAGGTTATAAGTAGAGAGCGGATTTTTAGGTTTTTACATATTTTTATTAGTTTTATGCAGCTTTATGAGAGTGAAAAATATGGACGATTTATCCATCACAGAGTTTGTAGGAAAAAATTTATTTAGCATATTAAAGCATATTTTGGACTTAGGAGAATATTTAGCCTATTTTTCATATTTTAGAATATATTCTATTATTGTTCATAAAAAATCATATTACACATTACTAATTTATCGATTTGTGATATTTTCCAGCAACAATTTTTCTAGGAAAAAAATTATTTTATATAAGAATGATAAAAATTAAAAATTATTCAATTATATACTTGTTTGTAATCAAATTGCTAATGTTGGTCATTCTGTTATTCTTAATCCATGATTGTACTTACAATCCTATAATAACGTAATAAGAATGATTCTTAATAATAAATCTATTTTATTTTTACTTTTATATTGTTTATTGTTTTAACTTTTAATGTGACGATTTAGTTAAATTTGTAATATTCATTTTTATTTTTTAAAATGCCGAAAATTAACAAAAGTTTAAAATATTCATATACCTATGAACTGTTTTGTATTTTTTATAATTAAATATTCTATATAGTTACCAAAAAGGAATGGTACATAAGTTATTTATTGTTTTTATTGAATTATTTTGGAAAAAAACATCATATTATCTGCATATTTACAAGTTTAAGAAATATTTAGAGAATATTTTAGGGTTTTTTTAAAACATATTAGCATCATATTTTAAGCTTTTAAGAACCTAAAAATCCGCTCTTTAGTTATGAGTTATGACATTTAGTGTTTGGGTTTAATCATGAATGAATATAATAAACTACAGATATACTATATACCAGGTGTTGGCAATTAAATTCTATGGAGGTCCAGAAAATCAAAAAAAAAAAAAAAATTGAGGGCCAGTAAAAACTAAAAACTCAGATATTAGTTAATAATTGTTGTGTTATCGCAACTATTATTGTAAATAGTAATAAACTATAAGCACCATCGTAATCTCTAAATACATCATAAAATAGATAAAATACATATTATGTGTGGAAAATCAGCATTATTAAAAAAAAAAAATATTTTTTGTGGTCCAATTATTTTTCCTTCACGGGCCGGATTTGGCTCGCGGACCACCTATTGCCGACCACTGCTATATACTATGTGTATGGTAATAATTCTTGTAGAAAGACATTCAGTTATTTTAAAATGTATATTAGCTTGTAAATATAATATTATAATATTACTTTGCATAATACTTATTGTATTATATTTTAATAAAACCGAGCATTTACTGTCAAGCACACTTATCATCAATGTCTATTGCATCCTGGTTATAATTCTGTTGCAGTTAACATTTTGACCCCTGCTAAGAGTCTTAGTAATAGTGAAAGCTCATAAGTAGGGCTTGGAAGTTGATGACCTTAAAAACAATAAAAAATGACCTAAAAAATATATGCAAATATGACATAAAAATGGCAAAAAATGTCCTAAAAAAATTACAAATATTAGTTTTATATTAATAAAAATACATTTTTTTAAAATATTTTACTCTATTTTACTATAAAATTCAAAATATGACATAAAAATCCTTAAAATAGGAAATTAAAAATATTTGTTTTATAAATTTATCAAAACTTACAAATTATTTAAAAATAGAAATCATTACGACAACAACAAATGTAATCGCCGAGATAAAATTGGATAGGTACTAATCTTAGTCTGTGGTAATTTCCAAGTTTTAAGTTATCAACATAATGGTCGACAAGAAACGATAAGAAATGAACTTGTGTAAAATCAGTAAAAATAACTAAAAATGTGGGAAAACGACCTAAAAATGTCAAAAAATGACTTAGAAAGTAATAAACACCAAAAAAATGCAAAATAAAAATTAGTTATTCAGATTCAGATGCTTATGAAACAGATTTGTGGCCAGGAGAGCATCGTCTAAAAAGTTCTAAAAAAAAATGCAAAATGCATCAATTTCCGAGTCCTACTCATAAGTATAGCAGTTCTTAAACTGTGAGGCAATTAACAGGTACTAAGTAGTATAATAAATATATTTTTGTGGTTAGAATTTCCTGTTTTTAAATATTTTTCTTAAAGCATTGATTTTAAACTATCAATGAGTGAAAATAGTTAAATCATTCAATTAGGTACAACATATTTAAATATCGTTTTACATTATTTTATGATGTATGTATAACTCGAAAAAAGGTATTGTTTCTTTTTTCTTAGACTAAATATAAATGTTTTAGAGGACGCTACACAGACATTTCTTGTCTCTGTCTTACAAGTATTTAATATAGTAAATTTACGTTCAGCAGATTAGGTTTAGCTTTGTTAGTTTATGAATTAGAATGAATTGGCTTATAATAAACCTTGATGGTAAAAAGATTATCTGTGTTTGTATGTAGGTTTTTTACGATATTTCAATTTTTTAGCAAGTTTTGCTTATGTAAAATAAAGTAAAATAAAAATGCTCATTACTCACTTAAAAAAGCTGAATTATTGTAAAAACCCACTCACAAACACTGAAAATTTTCTTGCCATCAAATTTCATTATAGGTCAATTCACTCTATGTTTTAAACTAATAAAACTAAACCTGATCTGAGTGTACATTTACTATGTTATGCAATTTTAAGACATAGACAACAAATTCCTGTATAACATCTTTTTAATGAAAGTATTAAATATATTAAATTATTTTTGGCCTACTTTATTTTATATTATTTACAAAGAGCTTGAAAATTATTTTCTATTTTTAGGGAGTAAAGTTTTATAAATTCATTTTATTGTACTATTGTATATAATTTTTAATGATAGATACTCAATCATGGTCCAGTCTGTAGGATAATAGTGTACATATAATATTTATATGAACATTGAACTATTGTTCTGCATTTGAAAGCAATAATAAGTATACTATAGTTTTAAATCTCTTAAATTATTCAAAATTTTTCTTCTTCTATGGGTATGTATATAAAAAAATGTCACCTTTAAATTTTTACTATGTTTAAATAAAAAACAATGTGCAAATTGTATGACAGCTAAAAAAAAATTACAATCTAGATAAGGTTTTTTTTATAATTCATTATGTTCTTATCAAAACTAATGTACATTTTTTTTTCGTTCTGTTATGCCATACTGTGTGTAAGATAAAATTTGAACAATGATTTAATTTAATTTAATGATGAATAGTTTATAGACATCATAAATTTTATGTTATTATGCAACATAGGTAATTATAATTTCATAGTAGGCACATATTTGCATGTTTGATTTTTTTTGTTTAAAAAAATTTTAATTGGTCTTCTATTTTAAAAATCTAAATTCCTATCAACAACAAAACTAAGTAACTTAAATTAAATAATATCAAAGTATAAATAATCTATTTTTATATAGTTAATTATACTTATCATTTATTTAATTAAATTCAATAAAAAAGTACGCTTTACTTATTTTTGCAATATTATTTATGCAACATAATCTAGAATTTAATTATATAAATATGCCTAGTATATCATGTACGTTAACCTGATTCTAAAGATCAAGTATAAATAATTATTTGTTATATAAATAATTTAATATAATATACTTACTTAATTTTAAAAATATACTTACATTACTTTATAAGCAAGATTTAATTTGTAAATATAACATGCTTTGTATTATTAAATAAATATTATTTATTCTAATACAATTAATAAATGTATTTATGTATACAATATTAATTTAACCTATCTATGTACAATATTTTAAGATGTTTATTTTGCTAAATACCAATAATATTAATACTTATATTTTTTTTAAACCAATTTGGTTGAATTAAAAATTTTATGAAATCAGTAGCTTGGTTGAATTTATCTCTTTCATACCTAAAATATTTTATTAAATATAATAATAATTTGATTGTTACTCCATAACACATTTCTGGTTAGTTTTAGGTGGTTGTGTAAAGAAATGTAGTTAATAAACAGAACATTTATATTTTATATTTTGAAGTATGAATAAGTTATTATAGCTTATTAATACCTTTGACAATAATTCAAATAAAAATAGCAAACTTCTATGTAAGAAATTACTAGTACTAAGAATGATTTAAGTATTTGTTGAAATGCGGCTGTGACAAAGTCTACATTTTTTTTTATATTTATACAATCTGATTTAATTAATGATTTTTATACCATTAACTAGAATATTTATTTTATTTTAGCTATGCTCCTTGGTGCCCTGCTTGTAAGTCACTTGAACCTGAATGGAGAGAATTTGCAAAATGGAGTGAAAGTCATTCATCAATTTCAGTTGCAAGTACAGATATTACAATATCGCCAGGACTTACTGGACGTTTTATTGTTACAACTTTACCTACCATTTTTCAGTGAGATAAATTGTTTAATATTTTATTATAAGTATAGTTAATTTTTATTTAGTAATATTTAAATGTTTTTACTTATTATAGTGTTAAGAATGGTGTATTCAGATACTATAAAATGGGCCGTGATAAAGATTCAATGATATCATTTATAAAAGAACGAAAATGGGAACAATTAGAATCAATTTCATCATGGAAATCCCCTAATTCAATTCAAATGTCTCTAGTTGCTCAATTCTTTAAACTCTCGCAAAAAGTTAGGGTAAGTGTTGTCCTATCTTTATAATTCTAATTAATAAAATTAATATAATATTTTAATCATTTGTTTTTATTTAGATTTTGCATTCAACTCTGATGGCTGAGTATGGACTTCCAACTTGGGGATCATACTTGATATTTGCTATAGCAACCATATTTATTGGTGCCATACTTGGTTTAGTAAGTATACAATTTTGTTTATTTGTTTTAAGATTTTATCACTCTTAAAATAGAATAAAAACAATCATAAATTGTTATCCTTTAATCATTTACCTTTCCAACAATTAAATAAAGAAAGTTAGTAAATTTGATTTAATTTGTTTTTGTAGATTTAAGCACAAAAAAATGTATAAATATGTATACACTTTTGCATTAAAAAATTAAAAAAATGCAATAAATATATTGAAACAAACTTAATTATCAATAAAATATAAATCAATGGGTCAGTGGTTGTTTATCATTTTTTTGTTTTTGTGTACTTAATCGAATATGTCTCACAATGTTCATACGCTGTTCGAAAGTATACCAACGTTCGCTACTGACCTTAACTCCCATAATTTGCAATAAAGAATTAAAAGATAAAACATGCTCTCCAAATTCTTTTACAATACATCTTATTCCGTTTGAACAATAATTTTACTTTAGGCATAATTGAGCTACATTTTGAATAATCTAATAAATCAAATAAGTACACGGCAAAACACAAAACGCGCAGTACTCTACAAGGGTTGTAGACTAGATGGCAATTAATAAATTATCAAACGTTCTGTTAAAATATTGTAATAGCTTGCAGTTTTAAGATAAGTTTTGATTGTGACAATTAACGAGGGTTATCGCTTTATCAAAAATTATATTTAAATAGGTACCTTTACTCTATATAACTTTATTAAATTCTCATCATTAAATAACTGATCATTTGTAAAATACTTTGCAAAATATGGATAATCAAACTTATATTTGATTTAGTTAATAAAATATAAAATTATGGTATTTTTCAGCGTTTTGCATTGAAAACCGTTAAATATGTGTTTAAATTATTATTTATTGTTTAATATTTCTTATTAATTTATTTAGATGCATAATTAAAATATTTTATATAGGACATAATAATGATACTATCAATTGAATGATGTTATCTTCTTCACTAGTTCTTAAATCATTTTTTAACAACTAAATCGTTTTTGATAATGTTTTGGTTGGCATGCCTAAGTTATTTTTGTATCGTTTACTCAGATACATGAGATAATTACTTTTTTTTAATAAACTGTTAGTTATTTATGTTTATTCAACATTTGTTTCTACTAAGTCAGCTATAGAAATGATAATAATCTTAATTTGTTTATGTAATATTTTACTTTGTCAAATGTATAATATTAACTTTAATTACTTTTAGGTATTGGTCTGTATTATTGATTTAGTTTATCCTCCAAACCACCATAAAATACCAGTTAAAGATGGAAAAGACGAAAATAGTGATAGTGGTCAAGAATCGGTCAGTAATAACTTGAAAATTGTTTTATTTATTTCCTTCTGGCTATTAATAATAGTAATAAAACATAATTTTATTTCAGGACGATGATGATGAACTTGTTAAAGATGAATTATTAGATGATCAAGCTAGCGATGAACCAACTGAAAATGAACCTTTATTGAGGAATAGACGAAAAATACGTAAAACTGACTGATAACTTTTTTTTTTAATCGGCATAACTATTTCTTCAACATAATTCCAATTAATATAATTTATACCGATTAATGTATTATAGTTCTTTCTAATACAAATCATTATATTGATATTATTATTAATTTATTTTTAGGTCCACATTTAATTAAGTTTATTAATATTGAATACTTTAACATAAGCAGTCAATTATTTTTTTTTAATTAATTGCTTTTTTAAAGAAATTTAGGCTTAAAGCATTAGCTGTATTGCTTGCTTGTTCCTAAATCTTTGTAAGTAGTCATTTTTATAAGAAAATTTTTTTAAATGTTTCATTCATGTATATAAGTATAAATAAATAGCCAAACCTTAATTAACTCTGTTATTATTATTCTATAAATTGTCTAAACCATTTTATTTTTTTAAAAAATGATTTGTAGATATTAAGGGATTTAAAGCAGTATTTATTAAAATTAATCATTTTATAAATTATTTAAGTTATATCAAGATTTTGCATACAAAAAAAAAAAAAAAAAAAATGAAGAGAAATAAACATTTCTGTTTGATTACAAATATATGTATAATAAATATTTTATTTTAAGGGATGTCAGAAATGTCTGTACACAATTTGTTTTTTGTTGAAGTCTTGAGTACAATCACCCATTAAAAATATAGAGTATAAATAGTATAATACTTTTTTGGGTTTGAAATATTCATTTTTTGGCTGTTCTAGCGTGTAGGCTTTTCCTATATTTTAAGTCTATTAGCTTTTAGTCTGTTCATACGGTTTATGCATTATTTATGTGTATCCTTATCTTAGTCATATGTAGTTATTTATGATACCTCTGAGTATGTTGCCCACTATTTTGAAAATAGAATATTTGTTAAACATGGTATTTACAATATGTATATTTAAACCAAATATCATAGTTGTGTTTTATATTTTATCATCAATTTTAAAAATTAATTCGCTCAGTACCTCAGGCATGTATAAAATTCATTAAAAAAAAAAAAAAAAAAAATATTTGTTTTTCAGTAAAAATTGTTAACTCTGATAACTAATTAACAAAATATCTAATATGGTTTGATAGAACTGCAGTATTTGAAGAAAGTTCACAAAAAGTATAAGCATACATTTTTCTTACAAGTAATATTTTATTAGATTATAATTCTTAAAACCTCAATACTGTTTAATATACAACAATAATCAAAATATGTGTATTCAATTTAAATTAAATTTTGGTATAAGTTTAGAGTAATAATTTAAGAGTGTATTGATTTTGGATTTAATATTGTTTTAGCTAAAAGGATGGTATAATGATAAATTAATTATAAAAATTTCATAAACACCTAGTGTTAGGTTTGTATACAAAGTACTATAGCCCCCATAACCCTTATTATGAGAAATGTATCAAAATTTATACATATATCTTATAATTATGTCTATACATGATTATGTTTTGCTTAATTTTTTGTCATTTTGTACATTTTGAAAATCAAATTTGTTTAAACTAACAATTTTAAACGGAATTACTTTCATACTACTAAAGCTTAAGTTTTTAAGAACTCGTATGGAATTATATTTTATAATGTTAGTCTGAATTTTTATTATTTTGTATACAGTTGGAATTGTATTTGAATAATAATTTATGAGTAAAATAATATTTTAGACTTGAATATCGCTTTAATCTATATATTTAGAATATTTTTCATTAATAATGTAAATATTGATAGTAAGATACATTATAAATTCTACTGTTACAGCTAATTTTAATTTTATTTTTTAGAACTTTAAATACTATATATTTTAAATATTGGATACATATTTTTTCTTTATATTTTTTATAACAAATATTTTAAAATATGAATGTTTACAAATTAAAGAATGATTTACTATTAACCATATTATACTATTCTAAATTAAACAGAGATATTAATTAAACTTGGTTGTATTTATTTAACTCGCATAAGATAAGTAATTAACTTGCATAACATTTTTACAGTGTCTTAGGATATGACAAATTTTAATTCACCAATTCATCATTGGTTTTAAATAAGTATTTACCCTAGTGGAATACTGCAATATACTTGATTTTTTGAATCAAGACTGAGGAAATAATGTAGTACAGGTTAAGAATTAATGATCATAATTTTTAAGATACTTACATATATGGTCATTTTAAAAAACTCGTTTCCATTTGCATTCAAAAATATTTTATTCAAGAAAAATATTAATTACATAAAACAATTAAAATGTTAATATTATCTCCCTTTTTGTTCATTTACTTTACAATTTTGTGTTACTTGCTCTCTTCTCTTCATCGTACTTTCTAAAACAACACTTTCTTTCTAAGCTAACACTTTGTCCTATGTGAAATATGGTGACATTCTTTCATTATTTTATTTATTTTGCGTTCAACCCTTCTGAACCACTTTGATTCAAAATTTTGTAAACCGCTGTGCAGTTCAGTTAGTACAATTATTGATGGAAATACTTGTTATAAAACACAATATTTCATTGGAATTTGCAATATTTGTTGCTTTTCCATCTATAACTTGTATCTGCACAGTTACACTTCTACCAAACTATAATAACAATAGACTTTTGTTTTGTTCCTCGGCATTAAATAGCAAAATATTTATGTTTCCTTTGCATAATTAGCATCAATAGCTTTTTAATTATATGAGTTGTTTACACTCTAAATATATTTTTTTACTGTACTAAAATATATATATATAATAAAATAATTTTTATTGTTAATAGTATATGACAATAATTATTTCAGTAGTTGACCATATTAAAATATTCAATCATTAATAAAAATGTTAGATAATACTACAAAAATGTTACGTGTAATTTGATTCAGAAAGAAAAATTTTAATATTGAATACATAGGGATATAGGAATTTATATACCAAATTTGAGATTGATAATATGAACATGTAATATAGAATACATACTTATAACTATTAAAATGTATATTTATATGTTGGAATTCTATGAACACATGTATAAAATATATTAAATAATTGACTATGAAACATCTATTATAAATTTATGAAGCTTACAATTTTTTATTTAGGTACACTCTTATCTTATCTTACAACTTATTAAATATGTGGCAATTTCTTTGGATAACTATATGTGAAGTTGAAAATCGATAGCAATTTTTCAGTGTGATGATGAGCTATATAATGAAAAATGTTCAAAATTGAATTAATTTTATAAGTATTTATAACAGAAGAAATATTAAGTATAATTACATAGTTAAACAGACAATTGAAAATAGATTTAAATTAGATACTCTCGTATTAATTATAAGTGAAATTTTAGTAAAAGTTAAATATAAGTTTGGGGAGGCAACTGCGCACATATCCTTTCTTGTAAGTTCTTGGTTATATTATATACTTATAGTAAAATGTGTTTGAGAAGAATTAATCCTTTCAATAAGTGAATATGTCTACAAAATCACATAGCCCATTTCTCCCATTCATTGTTTGTTTAATTTATTTTTACAATGCAGAATATATAATATAGTATATTATGCATCATATTTATTGCAGACTGTAGCTAATAAATTATATTATATATACCTATAATAATAATATAATTTTTCCTATAAATATATAATTGAGTACTTCTTTAATGACCAGTGTTTAACATTTAACAGATCACATTAAAAGCCAATTCCAATAAATAATAAAATAATGCAACCTGCTGAAGTATAATATACTTAGCCAACAGCTATATAGTGTAAAATATTATAGGTACAATGAATAGGTTAAAACTAACGGGTTTATCAATTATTATTAATTTATTAAACCTTCGTTACTTTTTTATCTCTTTTCTCAAAGTAAACTTTAGACTTTGAACATAAGTCTACCACTTGATTCATTACGCATTTACGTATTTAGGTAAAATAAATATTACTGTAATCTAATTTACTAATGTCTAATGCACTATCTAGTATAATTTGTGTCTTATATTTTCTTATCATTTATTTACAATTTTGATTTTAATTTTAATTACTTTTTATAATCTATCACGTGTAATTGTGTAAACAAATACTTATCTAAGAACATTATATACATTTTTATTATTATTTTAATCGAAATCCCGAATACCGAGTAAAAGTGGTTACAAATAATGAACGTTAATGGACATTTAATAAATTTTATTTTAGAACATTTAAGTTTTAAATAATATTCTTTAATGATATTTAAAAAAACTTTATATTTTATAATCCTGTAAAATATTATTAATATTTATTCGGAGAAAATAAAAATTGAAACCAAAACAAGTTATTTTTACCGATTAAAGAATCTATAGATACAGAACTAAGTGGAGAAATATGAATCCCAACCAAGTACCAACGGTCAATATTAAGAGTTTTTTAAATTATATTGGCATTGAGCATTGTAGGACGTAGGTAAACATATTTATTCTCGATAATAATTTAATGATGTATTACATTGGCTCAATGACTCGCATAGAATTAGACTATTAATTGTACTAACCACACGGCCACATAGCTAATATACGCAATAATTATGTATATAAAAATGATACAATATTTAAAAAAAAATAAAAAATATTTTGGAATTCGTTTAATTTAACACAAACGAATACCTACTTACGTCTTTACTTAGTAATTGGTGTGTTAGTAGGTAGGTTTCATACTTCGTTTATCTCTAATTAGTTACATGCTCAACAATACGTGACTTATAGGCTTATAATGATTTAATATATAAAAATGTAACATATAGGTATCCAGGTAGGTTACTTACCTATATATTATTATTTATTAGTTATTACCACAAAACTCGTGTTTATATAGTTGTAAAAAAAAAGTTTCTCCACATTACACGTCATGCGGCAGGTGAAATAAAACAAAGAACTGTGTTAATAAGTTATTATCATACATAACATAATTGTTAAACGTTACAAAATGTATAAATTACCAAGTGAGGTTAGAAAAAAAAATTGAAACCTGGTAAGCATTTAAGACTAGGCCGATTCTCATACGTAAAAGCAGCTGTAAGATAATGTTTTAAATTTAATGAACCGACTACTAATAAAGCTATACTTTCATATATTATAGGTACCCACCTATAGGTAATTTAAGAAAGAGAATACATTTTTGAAAGGTCCTCAGCTGAATTATATCTCAAAAGTATAGTTGCATATTCTGCAGTTTTAAGTTCATATATATAGAACTTCACATCTTGGTATGTTATATATGATTACGTGGGTGATGACTAAGACCTGAGGATGCTTCGATATTTAAATTATTTGGCTAAACAGTAAAATTAACTTATATATCACTTCATTTCTCGTAAACATTTAGGTATTTCAATTTCAGGTATTTGGTGATCACGGTCAATAAAAATGTGAAAGGAAAAAATACTTTACGAAATCTAGAAAGATGTAGGCAGCAGGTATTTACTATTTAGCCAACAATTCAACTGATACGCATAAGTGCCTATATACAATTAAATTTAAAACAGTGCTCTATGTAACATATTATGTATTTTTTATACATAATTTAGACAAAAGTTAAAATTTATCGCGGACTAAATTTTTATGTAATTTTATTATTTAGTTTCACGAAAAATTTATTTTTTATGGTCTGATAACCATAATATAGTATAAATTATTTCAGATTTTCATTATAATGGTAGAGTTATGAAGTCTGCTTTTTAAATATCTATTCAACCGATACATATCATTTTTACATGATGTGTTACAATGTTTAACAGCATCCCTATGACCTATTTTCTACTATCTAGGTTTATAGATATTTTCTAATCACAATCGATTTTTTTATTTAATAATTCCACGTTTTTCAAAATGTATTGGTGTTTCAGATGATTTGTTCTTTAGTTAGTTAACACTTTAATTATCTTCCATAAATGGTTTAATTGTACCTACCTATTAAATATCTGCCGCGAGTCGTGTTTTTAGATCACGGCGCACGTCACACACAACAAACAATTTTATGTGTATGTGTGTATGTATGGAATATTATGTTCTCGAATTGTATTGTGAAGATACAAATATAATCGAACGATTCGATCAGTAAAAAAAGGGGTGCCACAGAAGGCCGCCACTTGACGTTTTGTATTCGTATATACGGTAAGCATATTGTACAACGTTTATTTTGAATAATTCACGTATTCGATACCTAAATTTAGTGTTCGTATAATCGTATATCGGACGAACATTGTCCTAAAATATTCTCGCGTTCAACCATCATAGCAGTAGGTCCCTGTCTGTACACAGTACACGATAAATTATAATATATAATATATATATGTATATTGCATATATATAATATATACGACGACAACAACAACCAGTTTTTGGCCCTACCTCTTTATAGAAGGTAAAAATGAAATAATAATAATAATAATAATAATAATAATAATATTATTATAGTCGTGTAGTGCAGAGCGTACAGACAATATAATAATATTACGGGCGGGAGCAGATGCCCCTAAATGGATTTGTGGACTACGGCAGCGGTGGAGTGGCGGTGTCTGGACAGCATTATGGATTATTGTGTGTTGTACGGGCGACGGCAGCGGCGTCGTCGTCGTCGTCGACACCGTCGTAGCTTGTGTGTGTCGCGCGCGCGTGTGTTATATTGGCGAATCGTTGCCGGGAGGTATTAACATCAAGGTTACCGTATACCGCGCGCTGACCAACAGCACCGCCGATCCCTCCCAGCGAGTGGGCATGCGAGATAACGCCGCCGTCGACCGTCTCTCAGTCGGGCACGACGTACAAAGTACAGCTGTGCGACACACGGCGTTGTACTTTAGTTATAATTGTATTTACATACGTTGTTATTATTCATCACATTGTTTTGTTATGGTCGTCAGTTGTGGTGCCGTTCATTCAGTCGACACGACCGTCGAGTGTGTTTTAATTATTAATAATAATGTTATGCAGTTGTGTATGAACCTACTCATGTAATAATAATAATAATAATAATAATAATAACAATAATATCAGTTGTTGTTATCAACAATGAGACGGTAACTCACCGAAGTCGTCCCATCTGTGTATTGTTTGGGTCGTCCATTAGCTCCGTCGAGTGTCGCGTTTAGCCGCTTTTGTTTACCATCGACCAAGGTGCCTCCAACCTACTGCGTGATCGAGATCGACGACGGCTGTGGCGTCGTTCTGTTCACGTCGATATCCGTTCGACGATAAACGTCTGTTCGAGTTAACGCCCTCGTGCCCTTCAACAGGGAGTGCTATTATGTGACAGCGATTGCTGGGATATGTGCGACGACGACAAGCGATTACAAAAGCCCATCAATGGATTGGGCTGCCGTCAGGTGCACAGCGGTCATACAACATACGACGTTGGAATTCCATTGGATGAGAGCATGGACATCATCAATCAACAGTGCCAAGAGATTTACGAACTGAGGTCACAGCTGAACCTGGTGATGAATGAAAGGGACATGTTGCTCAGTGAAGTTAGTCGTCTCAAATTTGATATGGAACTCTATGACCAGCGTATGATGTCCCATGACACCACCACCATCAGGTAAACACTCAAATATTACTCACTGATATATTTTGTTTGCTATATTCAATTTCAATACATTTCTCATTTATTTTGTTAAATCATAGTAAATTACAACTTTAAAAACTCATTCAGTCAAAGTTTTTTTCTTATTAATTAAAAATCTTTGCATATTCTACAAATTACTGTGTTCATATATTTGTCTAATAATTATGAACACTAATTTTAGTATTAATTATTAGTAATTTTCTTAAGTATTTGTCTTATTTCCAACTGTAATTGTTTTGAAATCTTAAGAAGTATAACTAGTTTTTTTTTTTTTTTATTGATCTTATTTATTACTTTAATAGAATCGGATAATTTAACTAATTATTAAGTCTATTAATTAATTTTATTTGTTTATATGGCATATCAAATTTATTAAATATCTATATTATTTATGTTTCCATGCATTTATATTTTTTGAGTGACATTTTTACTGTTTTCTTTATAGTTAATCTTATGTGAATAATTTTTGTTGAGTAGATTAAAAATGTCAATAGTAATAATTTTGTTATAGTAAATGATAAATTATTAGATTATTTATGTTAGTATAATAGATTTACATTTTGACTAACATTAAACGCATATTTGCAAATATTTAATACCATAAATGATTACTAAAACTTGATAGTTTTGTTTTTTTCATATTTTAAAATAATATTTTAAACCATCAACGTTTGGATTAAGTCATAATTTATATTATAACATAATTTTCTATGTTTAATAGGTACATTATTTCAATTTTATGGGATGTCAAGGACTTATAGTTTTATTGAAACAAATTATAGACTATGTTCCTTTGACAATGATTCATTATTTATTTTGATAGTCTGATAACTGTTACACTTTATTTGTGTGCATATCATTTTATACAATTTATATTTAAATACTCATGTTTAAAATGGTTTTAGTTATAAATATTCGTGTTTTATTTATAATCATTATTTTATTCTTATTTACTGTCAATGGAATTAATAGTTTTTTGTTAGGTAGGTATAAATGGAAACATTAAAATTAAATTCTTAATGATTAAACTTAGCAAAAATAATTTTATTGATAAAATTTTTTTTTATTATATATATATAGCTTACCTATGTTTTTGTTTTTTTTTAAAGGCTATCTATAATATATAAAATCTACAAGTATGTCAAATTAGTAATTCCATAGATTATTCTATACAAAGTTACAGTACTTTCTTTTATACATAATTACCATAAATCTAGTTAATTATAACTTAAGTATAAATTGTTTTTAGTATCTAATTTCAATAGTATTAAAAGAATATTCAAAAGTGTTGATAACCTTATATTTATTAATGAGATTTATTCTATTTTTCAGAGAAGACAAGTATGACAAAAGCAATAATCGAAATTTTTTGAACCAATGTGAACAATATAGTCATTGGACTGGTGCTATGTCCAAAAATAACATGGTTCAACCAGAACCATTTCATACATCTGCCTCGTAAGTTTTCTTTACATTTATAACGAACAGTATAACTAAATCTATTTTCATGTTTTTAAAGGTATGAGTTATCACAAGATTTGATAGAAAAGCAGATTGAGTTACTAGAAAGAAAATATGGAGGTGACAGAGCTAGACAAGCTGCACTAGTCATTCAACGAGCATTCAGACATTACATGCTGGTAAAAAAATTTGCTCATATCACAGCAATGGCAAAAGCTGAAAAAAGACTTAGTAAACGATTGGAAGACACTCAAAGTTTACGATCTCATGATAGTCAGCTGAGTATAAGATCAGGGTCATTAAGAGAACGACGATCAAGTTACTCACCAACCAAATGTAACTCTCTGCCACGTTCTAGATCTGGACGATGTGATTTAAATTATTATTACAGCTTGGAATCTTCTTGCTCTCATTTCTATTCAAATAATTACTCCTATAACGATATGAAAGTAAACAATATTAGTGCAATAAATCCAGAGACGGCATCTAAACAATTTTTTTTTCAGGATGATATCACTAGTCAAGTGGCCCATCAAATGATGCCAAATTTTTTATGTGGAAACAGCCATAACAATAGTTCAGACACATATAGACAAGCACATTCTGGTTCTGATTGCAATCAGTATGGAAGCAGTAGCTCTTCATCATGTATGTTTTCAGGGAGCTCAACTGGGTATCCTTCTAACATTTCCAAAAATAAAGTTCCTCCCGAAGTTCCAAAACGAACTTCATCAATATCGTTTCGCTCTTTACGGGAACAGCATCAAAACATAGCAGCCGGTACACTGAACAAAATGTCAGATAGTGGTAGCTTATCAAGTGTTCAATCTTCTGGTAGCGACGGTAGTCTTTCTAGTCAGTCACATAATTTAAATCAAACAAATTCTTCAGTTGACTCTTCCATGTTGTCAAATTCTATAGTATCTTGGAATAAAAAATCACAGGTACATATATTAGTTTAATACATGGAATTTTTTTTATGAATATTACATAATGTTTTAATACAAAAAAAAAAATATGTATTCTTAGATTTCTGATGTGATTAGAAAACGTCAATATCGTATTGGTCTCAATCTCTTTAATAAGAAACCTTCAAAAGGTATTATTTACCTTGTACGCAAAGGATTCTTGGACAATGCCCCTCATGCAGTTGCAAGATTTTTAATATCTCGTAAAGGCCTAAGCAAACAAATGATTGGCGAATATTTAGGAGATTTACAAAATTCATTTAACACTGCTACCTTAGAGTAAGTTAAGTTATTTTAACTATTGGTTCTATATTCATAAATATAAAAAAATATGTATATATTTATTTGATTGAACTAAATTAAAAAATCACATATGTTTATTTGAATTAAATAATACATGGAATAATTGTTTTATTTTATTAAGTTATAATGCTTTATAATAAATATGTTTCAATAAATAAATTTAAGACAAAAAAAAAAAAAAATGAAATTTACTATTTTGTTATTTATAGTTTAATTTGAATTTTTTTTTAGGTATTTTGCTCAAGAAATAGATCTCTCTGGTATGCAAGTGGATGTTGCACTACGCAAGTTTCAAACTTACTTTCGTATGCCTGGCGAAGCTCAAAAAATTGAAAGAATCATTGAAGTTTTTAGCCATAGATATTGTCACTGCAACAGAGATGTTGTGGCAAGATTGAGAAACCTGGACACTGTATTTATATTGGCATTTGCAATTATCATGCTCAATACTGATTTGCATACTCCTAATCTAAAACCAGAACGCCGAATGAAAATGAACGATTTTATCAAAAATCTAAGAGGTAAAAATGTTTGTTACTGTTAATAATATTAATATTATTTATAATGCTTGTCTTGCACTCTCATTAGGTATTGATGATTGTTGTGATATTGATCGAGATATGTTAGTTGGTATTTATGAGCGAATTAAAGCAAATGAATTCAAACCTGGATCAGATCATGTTACTCAAGTTATGAAAGTGCAGTCAACAATAGTAGGCAAAAAACCAGTAAGTTAAATTTAATTAAATAGGACTCATAACAGTCATAACTAATTTTGTAATGTATGTATTTTACACATATGGTACAATCTTATAATTAATAGAATCTTATATACTGATTAAATACATTTTATAATAGTTTTAGCACAATAATTATAACTTATAATATTTAATTATTATTATAATTATATTAATTTTTAATTTTTGTTATTCTATTACATTTACAAAAAATACAAAGCATGGAAATGCCAACATTAAAATTGAAAATTTTTCAGAACTTGGCATTGCCACATCGTCGGTTAGTGTGCTATTGTAGACTATATGAAGTACCCGATATTTATAAAAAAGAACGACCTGGTGTTCACCAACGAGAGGTATTCCTCTTTAACGATCTTCTAGTCATTACCAAAATACTTTCAAAAAAGAAAAATTCAGTAACCTATACATTTCGTCAAAGTTATCCATTAAATGGCCTTACTGTTTCTTTGTTTCAAATGCCACGTAAGAACATAGTTATCTAAAAATTAAAAAATTCTGAAATCATTTTTTTTTTTTTTATCAAACCATTGCTATTTCAGATTATCAATTTGGTATCAAACTTACTCAGCGTTTAGACAACCGTCTATTGATAACATTTAATGCACGAAACGATCATGATCGTTGTAAGTTTGTAGAAGACATTAGAGAATCAATATGTGAAATGGATGAAATGGAAAATTTGAGAATAGAGTCTGAACTTGAGCGTCACAGACATGGTCATAATAATCGGTACATTTAAATCTGTGTGTTAAATAGGTTATTATTTTCTTTATTTTATTTTATTTTAATTTGTAGATCGGTTAATAGCAATTCGGAAAATCGAGATAGTGGAGTTGCAGATATTGATCTGGGTCCGTTGCCCTCTCCACCAGTACACAGTCCCAAACCACGTACGGATGATACATTTGAAAACAGTTCACCATCACAGCAGGCTACACCAAAACGAGCTGCATTGACTGTTACTTGATAATACAGCTAATTTTATTTTTAACATACTAAGAAATTTTTTCTATAGAGCACCACCATATTTTTATTTGTTTTTTTTATTTAATACACCTATTTTATTATATAATAATTGTTCTTTATTTTTTGGTAATAAGTCATCAGTATTAATATTCTATGACAAATTAATAATTATTATTACACAATTATTAGTGTGGTGCAGACTTAGCCAATTATATAACGTAACCAGTAATGTAATTATCAAAATGTTGATTATGTTATACCTTGCATCATATATATTTTTATATAGACTTCTATCAGAGTAAGAGTATGATCATTAACACTTTAGGTCAGAACTAAGTAACTTTCTCTGTGCTCTGTTGTCAACACTAGCATACATATATTGTGTTATTATTATAGATATTATACATTAAACTCAAGTAACACACAACTGATGTGAAGCTGGTCGCGGGTAACAAATTTAGAAATGGCACTTGTTATAAATGTTATCTAAAGATTAGAAAAATTTAATACATTTTTGAAAAATAATGAAGTCAGTAATCATTGAATGTTTTATAGGTGTAAGGTATGTGGCTACTTATGCATCACACTGTGTATTAAATTATATAATTATACACAATTTTTTATACTTGTGTTACATTTTTTTTAAATCAAAATTTTTTAATATTTTTAACTAGATTTGCCGTGTTCTTGCTTTTGAATTATAACCTTTAAATACATTATTACTCTAATTGTCTTTTTATGTAACAACTATATGTATAATTATTTTTCTTTGTCATTTGTAATTATATAGTGTAATGTCAATAGTTTTGACAATTTTTAATATAAATGTCAAAATGGCTTATAACAAAAAATAAATGTATTTTTATCTGTTATAAAAATATTGAATGATGTACCTATGTAATAAAATAAAATTGATAATTTAACGTTTGATTAAAGAATATTTCTTTGTATTATGTTTAATAATTATTTTTTTATATATACATTATTTGATGCATTCAGATTTGAACACAAGTATCATGAAAACATTTTAGCATTTATAGTATTTTATGAATACAAAACTTAAAACACAAGTCGTATATGGTATGTGTTTTGTACTTCTGTTTTAATGGTTGATTCTAATGTGTTGGTATACATTACATTATTCACTGCTTGACATATTTAAGTAAAACCATTTATGACTAATGAATGCTTACATCTGGTCATGTTTAACAGTAAACAATAAACATTTATATGCGCTCACTCAGTTCGAATTTACGTCTCTATGCATCTTAAGGCAAATATATGTAACTGAATAATGTATAACAATCCTTAGAATATAAATGGATTAACTAGTAAATAAGTATAAATTATTCATGGAAAAAAAGGAACTAAATTTTTAATTTTCAATTAATAATAACCAGAAGAAATCATTTAAATAAAAATATATTGGCTTTAATTATTATATAAATAAATATTAACTATAATAGATGTAATCCGTCAGTTCAATTTTATTATATGATTACTAGCTCACAATTATACAACACATTTTGACTAGGAATATAATTTAATTTGCAAAATTTCAATAACACACTTGAATTTTTATTAAAAAAAAATAATCAAATTTTGCACACTGCACCTTTATAAGAGTTTATTAAATACACAATGGTCTTAAATATTATAGTGAATTTTAAACTTAGAAAATAATGATTCTAATTTCTAAATCATAAAATGGACAATAGTTTATACTTAAATAAGGTGTTTTAAGTTGTCTAATAAGAATTATGAATCTTCAATAGATTTACCAAATGCACCTCTATTAGCTATAAATTAATAACTGAATAATTCACCTGTGACAAATAAAACAAAACACGATAAAAAGGTCTTACTAAAAAACTGTTAGATACATTGAAACACATATGTATTTTCTTCTATCCTCCTTAGGTTAAAAATAGGTATAGGGCATTACTATATAATGTCTAAGTAGTTCTTTGTATGTATTTATATAGATTTTTAGGTTTCTGTAAGAAAAACTTATGAGGAGCACTGTATTAGATGATTAATTTTTTTATCAGGCATAAAAATTCATATCTACAAATAAAATAATTTTATTTCATATGCGTATACAATTAGTTACAATATTTTTAACACTTTATTGTACATAGATAACTAAAATTAAAGTTATAGTGAATTGTCACAATTATTATAAAATAGTTATAAGCAACATTGTTTGAGTAATAAAATATAAAAACATAACAAAATTTGTAAGAAGATTGATAGATAAAAAATTTTATAATGTGTTTTTATTGTCCGTTATCACCTGTTAGGGCTTTGATTTTCAGCTTTAGGATTGTATTCTGGTGGTAAGATATCTATTTGGAAGTATTTTTCTTTTTGAGGAGGGGGGGGGGGTCGAAAGTTAAAATTTCCTGTACTTTTTTTTTATAATCGAGAAAAAGAAACAAAAATTAAAAAATAAAATCAAATTTTTACACTAGGTATTTGCATCAGATTTTTATAAAACTGATTTTCATTTTGTTATATTTCAAAACGAATAACTACAGAAACTTAAAATTATCACCAAATCTTCATATTATTATTTTCTATACATAGTAACATTTTTAAAACATTTTGGTTTTTTTTAACCTATTTATTGGCATGAGAAATTTGAATTTACCTTCTTTAAATATAGATAAAATATTATTCGCTGAGTATTTACATAAATTGTTCTTATAACTGTATAGAAATATGAAAAACACATAAGCACAATTCTTTTTACATGAATTTAAAATTAAAATTTTTACAAAATTCGTCAAAATCTCGAAAATTTACAAATTACAAGTATTGTGTAGTAAAAATGAACAAAAATTTTCAGTTTTAGTAGCTAAGGTTTAAAAAGAAAGTTTAATTCCTCATATAGATACTTCATACTATAAAAAATAAATCTGAAAATATGTATACAAATATAATTATTTTTGGGCAATTTAAATCAGGACAGAATGAAGTATTTTAATAAACGAATAACGATGCTATGACGCTATGTAGATTAATTTTAAAACATTACTTATTTATACGATTATACCGTGAACCTATTTAGTCGGTTTTACAGTAAGATAGTACCTATATTATTTACTTGAAAGTTAATGAAAATAATTTAATATATTAATATGGTAAATACATATTATTTATTATTATAATATAATAAATGCAATGATGTTAGCAAAAATTAAATCAACTTACCGTTGTAGTAAAATAAATTACTTCAATAGCATTATCAAAAAGCATATGCAAAGTATTTGGAGTTATATAGATGTAGGCTTACAGACCGTTCCCGCCAAAATAGTCAAAATCGTTTGTTGTATAAACTTAATGATAAATCGTTGAAATAAAATTTAACCGGTGATATATTATGACCGCGTACTTACGCTTGTCTCTTTTAGTGGTAAGTACGATTGCGTACGAAAATGAGTGCAATGTTGTCATTGTATACTATAGGTACTTACTACTTAGTACTTAGTATTAATATCAATAACAATATCTTTCAGATACAATTTAAGTAAAAATTATAAATTAAAAACTCGGTACGATAACCAGCCCCGAAAAGTTTGGCATTGGAAATAACAGTCACGCGGTAACGAGTAACGTTTATGAAACTTAATCAATGATAATCAATAATTATTTTCTAAAACAAGTTATTGAAAAAAATCCATACGCAATCGTAACGCAATAGTTGGACGTTCAACACATCCAAATTCAATGGCCAATACCCAATCCACACCTACTATACAGCAGACTGATATACCAAGCGATATTAGATACCGCTTGTCAAGCTTTTTAATTATGGTTATATCAAATAATTTAAATCTAAATTGTCATGTAGATAAAAATTTGTTAAACTACTTCAAATACTTTTGACAAGTACTATAATTATTTAAAATACTTAAATATCCACCAACAATAGAAATTAAAAGTATTTAAACAGTATTTCGTGAAGCTACATAAAAAGTATATAAAATACTCTTAGTAAAGTATTTCGCGCTGTAGGTAGGTACCTATTGAATTTTTGCTTTAGATCATTAAGAGCTTGTTTGTCTTTCAAATCTCAATAAAAGTTAATAATATAAATACGCACATTTCTTATACAGTGTTATATTCTACTTCTGGACGTAAGGAATATGAATTATATAATAATAATATATCTATTATTATATTATATTATTTTATATTTTTATCAATGAGTATAAGCAGTGGCCAGTGACAAAATGTTGACCGCCTGTACGGATCTCTTACAGTAATTGGTTTTAAAAATAAAAAATATGTTTTTGTTGGACCTAGATTATTAAAGGATAAAAAAGAATAATCGTACAAAATTATTATGTATAAGTGAACTTTTAGAAATTAATTTAATATTTAAGCCACAACAAATAGATTTTGACTTTGGAAAAAGGAATTCCTCAAGCTGCAAGTAAAGAATTCTTTAACACCGTTATGATTGAATATAAATTACATCTCAGTCAAACCGTACAAAAATAAGAACTTGGGGAAATAGTTATACTACGTTTTTGGATTGACCTTTCTCCCTCCAATTGAAGCGAGAAATGTATTTTTGAAATTTATCGCTAAACAACGTATGGATTCAAGGATAGTTACTGAATCTAGTAGCTATTTAGATTATAATTATAGATATATTGTCTATATTAATTAAAATACTATTTTTCCAACCACATTTTGGATAATACTGTTTAAAGAACGAACAATGGAAATGAAGCTTTCAATTCTAAATTAAAAATTGAGACCGATTGTCACATCCCATCATATTTTAATTTTTAATGTGTAGGTACCAAAAATATTCAAATTGATACATATTTAAACTAATATAATTAAATATATTACTTTTATTCATTAAATATGCAACTATATCAATATTTAAAACATATTATTAATTACATATCCAAACCGCAGCTCGGTACCTATATCGACCTTGTAAAGTTGTAAATAATTATAAAATGTTTGCTCTTCCTAATGTTTTTTATTTTAACAATAGGTACAAGTAATTCCTCCGATCACTGGCATTGCAGCTGTTTCATTGACCTGCCTATATTATCTAA